TTATTATTATATATTTATTACAACCTTAAGAAAGCACCCTGCAACAACGGTTACCTTCTGTCTTTGGCCAAACACAATCCATTTGCTTAGTTCCTTCTTCAGTTCCTGTTCATATTTCCTCACATCTGTCTTTTTTATTACTATTTTATTCTTGAAAGAGACAAACTCCTCTGGATCTAGCTCCTGGAAAACAACATTAATATAAAACAATGCAGTACTATTTATTTTGATATATTTTGCCCACAGCTGTGCATACACACCTGTGCCCTTGGCCACTTTTGCCAGACTTTTACCATTGTGTCATAAAGCTGGATGTTCTCTCTTGGAGACAGAGAAAGATCTGAAGGAATACCATAGTTCTCAATCTGGAAAGTTTAAACAAAGGAAATATAAAGAAATAATTTTGATGGAATCCATGTTGCCTTAATGTAACAGTTGCTAAACAAGGCTGACATCAATATTATGCTTACATGACTGACTGTTAATGCAGCACAGGGGTGACAATGTTCGATGATAAAATCACTGCCCTTTAAAGAACACACATACTTTTCCAAATCATTGTATCTTTCTTCATATAAGACTGTGAAGAGACCAAAATGTCATCATGATGCACTTGATTGTTTTTAAAAGCAAGTAGGTAAACCTGCAAGATTTGTTATTATTTAAAAGAAAAACCAAACCAAAATATATTAAAATTCACGCACCATGATTAAAGTTTTTGCAGAAGTAACACTAAAATTTATTTCTTAATTACAAAATATTCTGTTACACACCTAGTCTAACACGATACGATTTCTTTTGCTCTTGTACTTTAGATTTCACTCTACATTTTCTTGTAAAGTTCTTTTCAGAGTTTGTAGAGCTTCTTCCTATTGTATTCTCAGCACGTTGCCAATACCTTTTCACAGACTGTAACCACCTACAGTGCAAGAATAAAATAAGAGTTGTAAAAAACATTTTAAGAAAATTATTACAGCTATAATAAGTTAATTACTACAATTTGCTGAATTTCTCCTATAGAATTTCTGGTCTCTCATCATCTTCAGTGCAATTTTCTCCAGCTTATCCCAGGGTGCTAATAAAAAATGTTAAATAGCACTGTTTTATATATATATATAAATATATATATGTGTATATATATGTGTATATGTAAATAGTGCATGTGTCTTCCCTGATTTTTGATGGACAAGTGTGCTTATCAGGCTTTGGCAATTCAAACAGATGTAAAAGCCTCCTAAATTCCTCTGCAAGCTCAACTATAGGGTCTGAAGGAATATTAGTTCCCTAGAGTTACAGTGTTGTTTTGTGTCGACTGAGATAGTAAGGGTGGCATAATACATATAACAATATAGCTCCAAACCAGTTGCCTCCCAATAGTAATTGATGTCTCTATCTAAACCTGCTCATATCCAATTTAAATATGCTCTTGTGAGCAAGAAAACTCCACACGTACTCAGTTAGGTGTTCCGGGTTACTGACAGTAGCAGAAAGTGCCAAAAACGGACACCGAATTGTTACCAGAAGATGCTCCCAAACCTCTGCTCCAATTTCACCACCAAGACAGTGGACCTATGATTTTGGGAAAAAGGATTAAAAGAAAAGAAGTGGTGTTCTTTATCAAAGTGCACCCATAACATGAGTTGGTTTGCATTTTGCAAAAATCAGAAGTTTGGCAAGATCAGTACTGAATAATTCTTATGTTGTAGCAAATGATCATGAGATTCAAATCAGATGTCCAGTAAATCCCTCTCCAGATTTCAGTGGCTAGCAAATTAGTCTAAATTTCAATAATTCAATATTACAATCACTCACTGGCATTATTAGCAATTAATTCTATATACGAGAAAGAATACAGTGGAAATTTTAAATTTAGCAATATTAATCATTGTCTTTTTCTCTGGAAAGACTGGCATATACTGTATGATATGAAATGTGTATGATCTCAGTGTAGAATTCTCTATTTGTGCCACTGAGACAACAGTGGAGGCTTTTAGTTTTTCAGTTGACTGACTTGAGAGAAATAGAGGAAGTTCCTGGTAGCTTCAACTTAACTGTAGGTCCTCTTGAGGACTAACAGAGTTTTAAGTTCTTTCACTGGAGTACATAAATACTATCAGCGAACAGGAAAAAGCAAGTAAATCTGAATTAATATTTCTGAAAGTTGTTTTTTTTTACCAGCAGAAATGTATGTAACTAAAAAATAAGTAATTGGCAATTTTTTCTCAAGATTTTGCCTGTATTTGTTAAATTGGTTACTATTAAACGATACCTACCTCATCAAATATAACATATTGTATTCGTTTGGTCCATTTCTGGCAACAAGGTGACAGCATCAAGATTTCTAAACATTGAGGCACTGTCACTAGTATCTAAGAACAAAGGTTTGTAAAGCATTATTTTCAAGTAAAATGACTAATCAACTACAAGTAGATTCTATATTTTAAAAGCATTTGAAAATATATATGTACTTGATTTTAAGGTAAGCAAGAAAAAATGAATGATTTGTAACTGCTATCTTCAAGAAGGGCAAGAAAGAGAACCCAGGAAACTACAGGCTGGTCAGCATCACCTTGATCCCTGGGAAGGTGATGGAGCAACTAATCCTGGAAACCATTTCCAAAACTACATGGAGAACAAGAAAATTATCAGGAGTATTCAGCAAGAATTCATTGAGAGGAAGTCATGCTTGACCAACCTCAACCAATCTCTATGATGAAACTGGCTTGGTAGATGAGGAGAGAGCTGATGACACTAAACTGGAAGGAGTGGCCAATATGCCAGAGGGTCACGTTGTCATCTAGAGGGATCTAGACAAGCTGGAGAAATGGCCTGACAAAAACCTCATGAAGTTCAATGGGGAGAAGTCCTACACCTAGGGAGGAACAACCCCATACACCAGTGCATGCTAGAGGACATCTAGCTGGAAAGCAGCTCTGCAGAAAAGGACCTGAGGGTCCCAGTGAACACCAAGTTGAACAGGAGGCAGCAACGTGCCCTTGTGGCAAAGAAGGCTAATGGTATCCTGGGCTGCATTAGGAGTGTTGCCAGCAAATCAAGGCAGAGGATCCCTCCCCTCTACTCAGCACCGATGAGGCCACACATGGAGTTCTGTGTCCAGTTCTCAGCTCCCTACTACAAGACAGACCAACCTAGTGGCCTTCTATGATGGAGTGACTACATCAGTGGACAAGGGAAGAGCTACTGGTATATTCTATCTGGACGTCTGTAAGGTATCTGCTGTATACAGACAACCAAAGGATTTTAATGTTTTTTCTTCTAACCAGAGCAAGTAATCAACTGCATGTCCCCTAAGGATGAATAGGTGAGGTTGTATACCATAGAATGAATGTTTTGGGTAAGCAGTTAGAGGTATGCTTAGATTTTTCCTGAACTTTGTATTTAGTAATGGCACAATTGTTATAATTAGAATTAACATTTTCAGAAGCCAGATGCAATACAGAAGTTATTATTATTATTATGTGTTAAAACACGCATACAAATATACCTGAGAATTCATTACATCATTGCGATAATCTCGTGTGAAGACTCCACACACTACCAATCCATCCGGAAGTTTCTTGGTGAACCGACTGTATATAGTTCCCACCACTTGGTTTACAAGGGCCTTAAATAAAGCAGGTCATTAACAAAATGGGATAGTGTATGTCTAGGGGCATGTGATATTCTGAGACATATAAAAGCATTCAATTTTGGCACTGATATTAATATACTAGACTATAATGTACTACATAATGTACTATTATATCTAGACTGTCAACAATGTTAATTTTATAAAGATGTGGTACTTGATTTTCAGTTATACTCCAAGGCTTTCAAAGAAAAATAAAAATGTTGTGTAAAGAGAATTAATTCTGTATTTTAATTATTTTCAAAGCAGTTAAAAATACAACACATTCTACTGCATCTACAAGCACTTTAATGATTTTAACATCCTGAGGCTACACATATAAAATATGTTTATCCACCCAGACTGATATTCAAATGAAAAGATGATTTTGATGCCAAATCTGAGTATAAACACACAAAAAATTATTTTACTTCTAGAAAACAATCCATAGAGATTGCTGTTGAATAACAGCACATGTAATTCAATATCCAAGAATTATATTACTGAACATTAAAATAAGTTTTGAAGAAATCAAAACATTGTGCCTCAGCACTTAAGTCAGTTTTTAACTACTAGGATAGAGCTGTCATTAAAAAAATATTCCACTGCCTGGAGTTTCATAAATTGTCTCGTGAAGCATCTAACAGTGAACTCAATTAGAAAAAGACAACTTGACTTGCTTGGTCATTGTTCTGTTTTAATATTACTTTTACTATGTTGGTAGGTTTTTGGTACTCTCACTATCTACTTAACATGCACTTTTGTATGTATTAGTATTTCTGACCTTAAATTAACTATACAGATACTAATAGACAAAAACTCTACATGAGCTTAAAAATTTTGAAGATTATTTTGTAAACATGCTGTTTCTAATAAATGTAAAACTGAATGTAAGGACAGCATTTCTAATAAAAATATGTATCAACTATATTTGTTGATATATATTGTATGTTTGTAACTATAATGAGTTAGCCTAAACAGTTTCAGAATTATATTGAGGAATACCAGTCATACATACAGAATAGGCAGTAAGATGCAGCCTTACCTTTGTAGGAGCAACATACACAACTACTCCATCATCGCTTGTTTTCAGAACTTTTTCCATGCAATAGTATGATGCATATGTTTTTCCTGATGAAGTGGGAGCGACAATCACCGCAGACTCATTATTATCTACAGCATCAAGAAGTTCTCGCTAAGAGAAAAGCAGTTACTTATGTCAAAATGTCTTGTTATGAAGCTCTTATTGAGTAAACCAGCTCTTCCTGTGAAAACATATCTTATTTTTGCATGTATTCAATATATGCAGATTTACATACTTCATATACAGATTTTAGACTACCTAAAAGTTAACCTAGTCATTTTATGACTGTATTCTTTTCTATTAAATTGTTAGCAGAAAAAAATGGAACTACAAATTACAACTTGTCAATTCAGTTCTTTGATCTAAGACACAGATGCCAGAACATTTTGTTTCCAAACCTGGACATTTTCAAATTAAAAAATAAAAGCAGAGGTGTATAATTTAGTTCCAAAAACATCATTGTTTTATAGAAGAAAGTATTTTTCCTTGCATTATAATATAAAACTGTCCAAATCTCTCTTCTGCTCCTAGCATACAGTGCTTATTAATCCGTTTTCTCTTCTATTGTTTTCTTCCTCCACCTTATATAAGTCTGCAAAAAGATGGGGGAAGGGGTACAGAAGAGGAAAGAGACCCTATTAACCCTATCTTTCTCTATCAGCACCTATGCAAAGTCCCAAGTTGCTTTTCAAGCAAATAACTGTTCTGCAGATACGGACATGCAAAGCATCAAATTCAGCTGGCCTCTCCAGTCCAATAACTAAAAAAAAAATCTGAGTTAGACTTACTCTGCTTTAGACAGGAAAGTTCTCAATTCATACTATGTGTAATTCTTTAGGGACAAATATGCAGAGGATGAACAGTTAGAGATTATCCAAATGGGGCATTACAACAATCCAATATGGTAATAAGCAGTAAAATCCCATGGACTCAGCATTTCTTATGTTGAATTCCTTGGGCCAAGCTCTCTGTAGAAAAGCTCTTAGTGTAGAAAGAATATGAAATACAGTCCAAAATTATCTATTGAATTTGTTAAATTTGTTTAAAAATTAAATTTGATAAAACCCACTATTTTTGACAAGTATTTTGACCACTATTTTTGACAAGTAGTATAATAATGTGTATTTTTAAATGAAAAAAAATTTCAAAGATCATTTCCATTAACTTTATGCAAAAAATCCGTGTCTCATTACCTGCCAGGTATCCGGTATGAAATGTTGCACTCGGGAATCTGGATCATTTCTCTCTTCTCTAAGCAAGTAATAATCCATGTATTGTAGCTGAAAGCGAGCTGGACCCACTTCAATAGCATAGTTACTTATATTCTGATTATCACTTTCTCCTGTCTATAAAGCCAAATGAAAATTCAAGTTGGTCTGAAAGCTAGCAAGAGATTAAGAAAATAGCACATCTTTTGCTCTGTGGAAGTCTGCAAGCTTTGAAAAACATATGAAAGTGCAGGTGATTTTTAAATAATTACTTGCAGAAATCTACACCATATAGCCTTATATCAGGGTTATGTTTGTATCTCTCCAAAGGAGACTATGCTCCAAAAATAATATATCTTCCATAGCCCATGGTAGTGTTGGTGGTTTTTTTGGTCTCAGAAGAGCTAACAAAACTGGCTAGCAGGCAAAGCTCAGTCTCTTCACGTATTGCCTGCCAGAGCCTTCTCATTCTATATTTATGTCTCTTTTCTTCAACCTGCTCTGACTCCTTGTGCAGTGAATCACAGTTGCAAAAGGAAATCCACCATAAAGACTGACTGTGATCCCAAATTTTGTAAAGCACTGTGTTTTTCAAAAATGCCTGTATACCCTAAAACATACCAAATGTAATGTTCATGAACACATTTGGTTACAACATCTGATCTTGAAATCTGTGTAGAAAAGCATTATATGTTACAACATATACCAGAAGATCAGAAAGTCACATAGTAATTTAGGTTGTCAGGGATAGTTAGATATAAATTAATACAGCTAGAAGCAGGTGCCATTAGATCAGGTCACTGAGGGGTGCGTTCAGCCAAGTTTTTACTATCTCCAAGGATGGAGATTTCATCACTTCTTCAAATTCTTGAAAGAAATATTTTAAGTTACTCCTGAAAATTTCAGTTATTCCTAAAATTCCACCAACTTTTCAATAGTAACAATCAGAAACAAGCAGCTGCAAAAGCAAAAGTAGGTCCAAAATGGACTGACTGATCAAGACATTAAACTTACCAACATATCACTTCTACCTACAAAGAGTTACAAGAGACCTTTTGAGACTCTCAGATCCTACAATTCTACTTCTTCAAATGTAATACACTTCATTTGAGGCACCAAACATCCTTAAAATACCTATGTAGTCAAGAGCAAACAATCATTGTACACTGGTTAAATTCACATAGAAAGAGACAAACAATTCCCACTCCTTAAGGGAAGAAAATTTCTTACAAAACAATCACTTCTTCCCTCACTCCTTAGTTGTGATCCTCAAGGAAGGATGATAAACACTTTCCAGAAATAAGCATCCAAAAATTCCTGAATCTACTGTGCCTGAAAAATGAGACACTGAAGTGATTGATACTGGTTTTACAGTTCACTGTAAACTTCTTTCCTTTTTCTATCGACTCCATATTCTGCAGGCTGAGTTACATCTTCCCTCTTCTGTCTGAGAGCCACTTTAACATCCCCTCTCCCTAATAATATTCCATCTACACACAAAGATATCAAAGTGCTCTTAACACTAAATCAGGAGTGGGCAGGTTGCTAACATGCAGAAAAGCATACAGCCAATCCTTAGAGAAATTACTTCAGAGCCAAATTCAATGTAGCTACCAGTGGTCTCAGCTGTGCTAGCAAGAACAAGCAATCCAGTATCTGAAACTGTTTCCTTCGGAGGGGATCAGTAACACCATAACAACAAACAGAATAGTTTTCATCTGCCTGTTTCAAAGAATTCCCTTTCTAAAGTAGCACAATTGGGCCTATTAGAAAGCAGGTGCTCATCACTTCGCTTTTTTAAAAGTTTTTGGTTTTTTTACATGTGATGAGTTGAACAGCAGGTACCTCTCAGAGATACCTAAGGCCTCAGGCAGACAGAGCTACAGCAGATTAATCTTGATGCATGTTTCAAGGGGTATCTTTGCAGCCATATAAAGTTCTATATACTAAAGGGGAAGCGACCTATTGTACAACTAGCCCTCACATCAGGCAGAGAAATGTATCCATGGAACTAAAAAAGATTAATATCTGAAGTTCCAAATCTTATGGCACAATACAAAATAAAACAAAATCAATATAGATCTTTTGCGCCATCCAATGCTTAAGGAAATGCCATTGATATTCAGCTACAGATTCAGTTACAGTAGAATGATTACAGTCAATAAAGTTACCTGGCCAGATAGAGAGCATGCCAAATTCTCAAATCCAAGAACTCTTAGATATCTGGTCAGCTTTTGTAGATGTGCTTTGTCCAAGACATCTTGATATTTTTCAAGGAGGATATGAATTCTCCTCATGACTTCAACAGCTTTGCTTAAATCTTTCGATTTGTTACCTTAGAAAAAAAACCCTAGAGTTATTTAAGAGCTGATTGTATCACTGTGAGTCTTCTGATATTAGGTACTTTTAGAAGAGACCTTATCTGTCCAAACATATTTATGACAATTTAAAGATTAATTTTATTTAAAGGCAACCAGACAAAGAAAATCCACAGTTCTGTGACCTCTACAAGGAGTGCCGCTGAAGACCAAGCACCTAAATATTTCTGCTTCTATGCACTCAGCTGTAAAAGGGAGTCATACTTACAACATCTACACAGTAACTGAGCTCTCCCATTTCACCTTCATGACCCACACAGTTGTTACTCAATCTTATTAGCAACGTATTTTACTCCAATGTTTACAACATTCCTCAACATGTTTAGAGCAGTGTGTGTTTGGACTCTCTTGACTGAGGGTATGGACCGAACAAGTTAATTCTGGTGAAAGAGCATGCCACTAATCACGGTAGCACAGCCTTCTGTGCAAATCATCATCATTCAGACTATGAGCTAACCACCTCAGCTAATTAAACAATTCATTGCAATATAGATACATTTTAGCATGCATGATCCATAAACATTAAGGATATATACAATAAAATAGATTTTTTATGTATGCAATGTTTACAAAGCAAAAAAGGAAAACAATTACAATCTAATTTAATTGGATACTTTAGGGCTGACTTAAAGGATCTTGAAATTGCAAAAGGGAACCAGAGCCTGATAATACTTAAAAACACCTTTCATGCTCCTGAAACAGGGCTGTACATCTTTATCCCAGCTGAGAATATTGAAAGTAAATCACTGTCTTGGTTAAAGGGAGTGGAAGTTGACTACTGAATATGAATTTGTCTACCACACCTTGCTTTCTGCAGTGCTCCTTCCACACTTCTAAACAGATGGACAGTGCTGTCATTTCTACACTGAACTTCACAGATTTACTTTTAAGGGTCTTGAGAAACTTCTCCAATTTCTTTATTCCAACAGTCAGATTTGCTTTTATTTCCTTTTCAGTTGGTATATGCAAGGCTTTCCATTGCTCCTCCTCTTTCTTTTCTTCTTTACTTTTCAGTCGCCTGATGTTTTCCTCTGCAATTGCTTCTGCTTTACTTTTCTATCCAATAAAATGAAGATATTTAGAAATAATCATCACTGTATGCAGGCATCATCTAAAAAATGTTAATCCATAAACTCAATAACAGCAGGTATATTATAGTGTTCAGTTCATCTGTGAGATGTGTTGTGTTTTGTGAATTGTTTAAAATAGTACTTCATTCCGAAGGAGATATAATTTCAGAATATCAATATATGTTGATCAAAACAGCTTCCCTAAGCTTCATTTTAAGTCAGTATAAAGCTTCACCAGTAGTATTAAAAAAGTACAAATACAGAAAAATACGGCTGAAAGATAACAATAGCAATTCTGATCATATTGAGATGCTTTTCAATAAGTTAAATAAAATAAGGAGTTCAACTGTACTTGAAGTTAACAAAGTTATTTTATATTCAGACTTTTACAAGTAATTCAACAGGCCATAATCTGTAATCCATAGTAAAGCCTATTATGAAATATTACTCAAATTACTATTGCTCAGTATTGTTCATGAGTATGAAAGTACATGCTACATATACCTGTGATGTCTGACAACGTTCCTATAGTTAGGATTAATTGCAATGTCTACAGGGTCCTTCACAGGGTTTCCAAATAGTGAAGGGAAATAAATAACTGAATAATGGTTTTTCCAGTATTTCTTAATAGTTTCTTACATTAAAATTAAATTAATGAACTCCAGTTTCCTTCACTCCACATTATAATAACTGGCCATCAGCCAAAAACCTATTAAACTTTACAGAGTTCATATTTATTGATTTTTTAAACTTACTTGTGCCTGTTAAAATATAATCACTCATCAGTATTCCTAACTAGGAACAAAAAAACTTTTGCCAATTAGTTAATTAACATGAAGTAAAAAGGCAACTTAAATTTCTCCAACTGAGAACTATCAGTGCACTCAAAAGATAAAACTTCAGCTGTGGGATTCATACAGTAGAAATCCTTTTCTGGATAATAGAAAAGAAGATCTGAAAAGAGCAACCTGAATATACTCACATGCTTTTTTTGTGTCTTTTTGACAGCAGCATTAGCATTCCCTGATGCATCCTTTTGAAGAACAATAGTTTTTGAAGTGCTGTCTTCCAAAGTGCTTCCATAAAAATGACGGAAAGTCTGTAACTTTTGTATTTGTTTTCTTTCTTCTGGATCTTTGGATTTTGCTGTAAACAAGTATAATTGATTAAAAAACTCTCCAGCCTAATGTATTTCCCAGAAAAGATACCTGGGTAATGGATAAATTCCTAAAAATCCCTCATTGACCTAAAGGGCCAAAATCATATTTCAGAAGAGGCTGGCTACTAAGACTCACTGAAATACAACAGTACTTTGAATTATCTGAGAGACAGACAATAGATGCAAATTCAAACTACTTTAGGCGCACATTAAAAATACTGGAAAACTTAACAAGCAGAATGCTTGGAAAGAAATTATAACTACTTGAGCAAAATGCCTAGGCTTCTCACACAGTTCATGAAAATAGGAAGGCAATTCAGAGACCTCTTCTCAATGAAAACAAGACACTGTCATCAGAACATAAATAAATAAAGCTGCTGGAAGAATAATTATTTTAGCCAATTGAAGATACTGAACCAAGCACATGGATACTTCCACACTCAAGCCTAGGTGTTTCTCTCTGCCCTAAAATCAAAATGATGAGTCAGTTTCTGAGTACAAAGACTCATCGCAGAAAAGGGAAA